TGATTTTTTGCTGCCATTAGAGGCTTCAGAGTGAATATCTAATATGCAAGCTTGGTAAACGGCATGCATGGGACCTGCCTCTATTACATATATGTGATTCATATTGTCTGAATAGAGGAAGATGCAGCATAAATTGTACAGTACAACTGGGACAACTTACAAAACCAGAAAATTTGCTTTTGAATGAGATTTTTGTTCATTATGCAAAGGAAATGTGAGCCAGAGGACATGCTTACAGCAGGGTGACTTAATTTCTGATAGATTTGTGCGTGGCATTGGAACAAATCTGGGAATACAAGGTGAGGTGACTGTACATGCATAGATAAATGAAATCAACTACTTTTTAATAGTTTATTAACACATTGGTCATTGTTTCAAAATCAAAACCTTTTAGAGATGTTTTCTGACTTAATGTTTACAACTTCCTTGCTTCGAGTGCTTCTTAGAGGGAGAAAAAAATAGCCCCCATGAAACCCTTCTTTGTTATGAACATATTGGCTGAAGCTGTTTTCAAAACCACACACACACACATATATATATATATGAAAAAGAAGCAGTTTCTGGCAGACAAAAATCCTTTTCAAAAGAGATTTGACAAGTTCAGTAATACATTGCACCATGCTCTTTTCACTCAGCAGTGAATGGAATTGTAGGACAAATGGAAAGAGGTCACCTGGCCTTTAAAATATGCATTACAAAGTCACATCTTTTTCTAGTAATTGTCATTAACAAAAAGATATTTTTCTAAAATGCAATGAACTTTTATGCAAATGTATTCTTCAGTACAGCTATGCTATCTACAGCATATTTAACATATGTAGTTAAGTAGTTCCTAGCCTTGACCGTTTGGGAAAAAAATTCCATCCTAATTATATTTTGAAATATTTTTCTTCTACTTTTCAGTATTATGAAAAGTGAAACACAAATTTTACAAACCAAGAACTCTGGTCAAACACCAGGTTAGTCAATAGAGATATTCAGGGAATTCAGTCTTTAATGCACTAGATCATTACTACTGCTTTTGCATCCTGGGTTGCTGTTGAAATTTACCATCTGTGTTTAATGTGGGATGAATGAGTAAACAGTTCTTAGACTGCAGAAGGGGCAAATCCTATAATACAGTGATTATGTTTGCATGATGTATAGGAACTAAAGGTTAAAATTGCTGCTCCTGTGATTTGGGATAAGGAGAATATAAGATATGGGGAAAAAATTGGCCCAACCCTGAACACTCACAAAAGAATCCCCAAAGCAGAGGGAAGTGTTGATCTGTGGGACAATCAGCTGTTGCAGGCAGGCATTTTTTTCTGAGCATTGGGAGTTTCTGAATTATAATACCTTTCAGTCCCTGAGATTAATGCAACCTTAAACTAACCTTAGAGTCATAGTGATTTTTTATCTTATGACAGGGATTGCCATCATTTTCAGAAGTTTAAGGACAAATGAATTGACATTTTTAATTAAAAAAAAAAAAACACAACATGGCTGGAAAATTCAAATTTTTGCTCTCTGTGTGAGATAGTCTGAGAACAGATGTCATTGTTGGAATTATTTCAGTAGCTCCAAAAGAACCTAAAATACTTAGGAGCATTGCTTAGAAAAATCACGTGAACTTTTCAAAAATATAGGCTTCCAGCAACATACTAGTACATGCTAACAGTATCACCCACATGGCTTGTATCAGAAATAGTGTGGCCAGCAGGACCAGGACAGTGAAGGTCCCCCTGTACTAGGCACTGGTGAGGCTGCACCTCAAATCCTGTGCTCATTTCTGGGTCCCTCACTGCAAGGAGGACATTGAGACACTGGGATGCTCTGTTATTGCAGGACAGCAGGGTGGTGAAGCATCTGGCCACAAGTCTGAGGAGAAATGAGGGAGCTGGAGTTGTTTAATTTGGAGAATATGAAGCTCAGGGGAAATTTTATCACTCTCTGTAACTACCTGAAAGGAGTTTGTAGCCAACTGGGGGTTAGTTTCTTTTTCCAAGTAACAAGGCATAGGGTGAGAGGAAATGGCCTCAAGTTTCACTAGCAGGGGTTTAAACTGGATATTGGGAAAAACTTCTTCATGGAAAGGATGGCCAGGCATTAGAACAGTCTGTCCAGGGAAGTTGTTGAGTCACCATCCCTGGAGGTATTTAAAAGATAGTACTTAGGGCCACAGTTGGACTTGATCTTTTTCAGCCTTAACAATTGCATGATTTTATAGCTGGTATGCATAGTATGAAAAAAGTCCAATGCGATAGGAGCACAGAAACTTGGTTTGAGAACTCATTGATGTAATTCATCTTACCAGATCTCAAAATGAATATAAAATCCTCTCAAACCCAAGAACTTAGTTACAAAAGTGTATTTCAATTGCTAATAGGAAAATGATTGTTTCACAGCATGTAGAAGAAACAGCATTCCCATTCGCATTGTAAATAAATACATACTAAGTAACAGTAATTTCTTCTGGAAATAGATTACACCATGATATTTTATGTCTTTGAAGTACATAAAAATGGAATAAGGGGTGTTTCAATTATTACAGATAGCCTTATGTCACATAGCTTGTTAGGTGATAGATCTAAAAGCATGATGTGAGCTTTTCACATCATTTCCCAAATTCTCATTACACTTGTGATGTTTTTATGAGAAGTACACTGAACCATTCTCTTTAATGTGTTTGCCACATTGTGAAGCACATTAAAGAGAAAATCCTGGCAATATGTCATTGATATGTGTATCGAAGATTTTGGGGTGAGATTATACCCAAACTAAAGTGTTCTGGGACACAACTACTTCTTTCACTCAAAAATACTTGAAATAGAGATTACAGTCCTTATAACTGTATACACAGCTTTTTTCTACAGGTTCTGCGTATATGAGATCACACTGGTTTTGATATTTTTTAGTTCATACAAATAAAAAATATGTGGTAGTTGATTTTATATTTGCCATATGATGATCATATTTTTTTATCAAACAATTAAAAGACCACGTCCCTGGGGAAAGTAGTATTGAAATTTTTTATGTATGTTCAAACTTGTGTCTATATGTATTCATTGCCTATAAATAACTATTTCGCTTAAATATTTTACATGAATCAAAAATAGTTTAAGGGGAAGTTTGAGTACTTAGTTTATTTAAATACAAAATTAACTTTATTTGTGTATCACCTGAGAAAGTATTGCACTGTCATTGGGCTATAAGTTATTTGAAACAATACTGAATAAAAGGACCATACACAGATGGAGGATGGGATTATGAGCTTGTATCTATTTTGAAAGTAAATAGGGATTGGAAAGCATCTATATTTCATTGACAGAGATATTTTACTTAGTTAATTATGTACTGGATATATATATAATGAATCCACAGGTGTATTGGATAAACAATATTTTTTGTACAACAGCATTGAAGATGGAAACTTTATGACGAGATAGAGTATCAGTCCATGCTTTTCACATTTTTACTCACTAATCATCATCACTGCATACATAGTGGCAGTGTTTCCAGAAAATGCCTATAGAAAATGTGTATCTGGAAGACAAATAAACTAGTACACTAATCCCAAAAGTGTATATATTAAAAAAATCTTAAACGTTTTAGTAATGATAATTATATTCTGTCTTAAAATGATGGACTAAGATTTAATTGAAGTCTTGGATTATGAGGAATATAAATATAGTTAACAGTGAAGTTTAAATAGGAAAGTAAAAGAAGTAAATAATATTTATTTAAATATGATATATCTGTTACAAATTTAAACTTCCTACATAAACAAGTTAAAGTATGCTGTTCTTTTTCATCATGTATTGAAAAGACATTTCAAAATAAAGAAAATTCAAGAAAATAATGATTAGCATGCTTAGACCATTTTGTTTCTTAACTAGCTATGTTAATTTCTAAGCTTAATTATAGCTTGATTTTCCTATTCATGTTTCACTCCTTATCAAGTGACCATTTACATTACAAAGGGCTACTTGCTATGGGAATAAGCACAGTGTTATAGAATGCTTGAATAGCTTGGTGTATTTTTATTTTTTTTGTCAGAAAACAGAACTATTGCCCAAAGATGGGGATGGTGAAAACTATGTTCATTTCCTCTTGCTCCCATAAGTACAGGCTGTGACCCGTATGAGCATAAATGTTTGTGTGTGTGTGCCTGTGTGTGTGTGCATGTGTACACCTCAAAAGTATTTTAAGAAAGCATGTTGAATATAAATCAAAGCATATTCTTCCCTAAATCTTCTAATAAAGAAATGCAAGTTCTTTATCATGGTAAGTAAATGTTTTCAGTCAATTTCTAGGTTTTTCTAAAGAGCATGAGATGAGGTATATTTTCAACAAAGGCTGGTTTTGGACCAATTTCATGAGTAGACATTGACTCAACTCTGTTTCACTTTTGTTTACAGCCTTCTTTTAAACATCTTTTTTGCTCATATGGAAAACAAGATTAATTTCTAAGGAGGCCTTTATGTTTTGTCTTGGTCAAATCAAGTTGTGTAAAACTCAAACAATCATTTTATTTGCATTATTTCCATCCAAAATTCAACTTGTGGCTATTTCTTAATAAATTGTAATGACAACGAATGAAATGTTAAGTTATTGAAGAAAGTAACTCAAGGCATTATTTCCTTAAGGTTACAGAACAGAATAAATAAAATTGCATTTCTTATGTAAAACATAAATTTGTAATTTTTAACATACTTTTTTGGTTTATATTATTCTTTTTTAATAGCACATTAATTTGATTTTTTTTGAAGAAATCACTTTTAACTAAAGTACTGCATTATCACAGAATATGATACATTTTTTCAAATATTTTCAATTTGTTCTTCTTGACATTTTATGTTTATGTGCAGTTTGCATCTTTTTTGTTTTTCAATTTCAAATGTAACAGATTTTGACATTTTTGTTACATTTTTTGTACTAGTGGTTTTTTTTCTTTTTGAGAACCTGCTGGTTTTGAATTCTCTTTTTTCCCTTTATTCTCCTCCTCAATATGAACCCAGGAGCCAACACAAAGAAAAGCGCAGATGATATAACCAGTAATGATCGTGGTGAAGATGAAGGTATTTTTTGTTTTTTCAAAGCCTGACCCTGATGCATGAACATAAACTTTTCAATTTTTGTTATAATAAGAATGATTATTGTTATTATTATTGCTGTTATTTCAACATGATTTTTAGTCCCTTATTTGCAGAAGCTCACATCAGTGTGCTTCTTTATTTTCTTCTTTAGAATTTGCTTTGATTGTTTTTCTTTTTAAAATCTAAATTAGCATATAGATGACTGCAGTTCCTCCGTGACATAGGTGTAAAATTTATTCCTAAATATGTGTGAAGTGAGTAACATAAATGTTATTTGAAACCACATATTTTTCCCCTCTATTCTTTCTTTAGGTTGAGAAAATGGAATTTAAAAACATGCATGTGCTCTTTTCCCTCCTACACATTTTATATATTCACTTGTTTGAAATTCATGAAAAAACTCACATATATCCTTCCTTTCACTTCCACTGTTTCCCCAGTGCACATGCTGTACATTGATACAGTTGAATTGTGCTTTGTCTTTGCTATTTTTATTTACTTATTTATATTTTTTTCTCACAGGATGTGGTTTATTTCAGGACACAAAAATAAAGGAAGCTGTTGATGTTGCTTTATTGTGTTTTTCCTGTAATCAGCTAGCCTCTGAGACGCATTCATTCAGACTCTGACCACATTCCCACTGAAATCAGTAACAATCATTTTCATTGACTACTTTCAAAGTTGCACTGGGTTTCCTGAAAGGAAATGCTAAAAGTTCACAGTGAAATACCCCAAAAAAGTTTTAGATGGAAACGAATTTTTTTCTTGCCTTGACGCAACAAATCTATTTAGGATGCACCATAATAGAAAGAAGTCATGAAACCTTCCTCTAGTCTCACCTTTCCTTTTTATTAAAGTTACGTTGTCAGCTTACATGTATTTACCAAATAAAGAAAAAAACATTTTCACATTAAATGAGAAGAAAAAAATCCTGGATAATTTGTTGGTCTGGCTTCAAAGCAACATCTTTACTAATCCTCTCAGGCTTGGCCAATCCAAAGTGTTATTCCATGTCTTTTTTCCTGTTTTTTTTTTCCCCATCTGACATAATTTCAAATTACTTGGAAACATATGTCCTCTCTATTTCCCTTAAAATCATACACACTGCAGTGAGGGTACTATCACCTCTTTTCCTGGGAGTTCAGGCTATTGTAGCTACTCTGTCTGTAAATAAAATACCATAATAAAACCCTCAGGTCTTTGATTCACTCTGATTGCCCTCTACTCCACTACCTTCACTGCTGAATTACACTTTTTCTTACAACAGAGAAATACTGTGCAGAGTACTCTAGAATTACTCTGTTGCTTTCTGATTATCAGTTTCCTATTTCTGTGCAACACAGGCTTTTTTCAAAGTATGGTATTATAATTTCTATACCAAATTCTGAAGTTGATTTTAAAGTTAAGGACAAATAACAGACAAAATCAAAGTTGCTTTAAAGATAAATACTAGATTATGAACACATAATTATTCAACCTTTTTAAAAATTTATAAAATGTTAGGATTTCATGATTAACAAAGGTATTCATTTTAGATCTAAGCATCTAAGCATAAAGCATTAAGCTAATTTCCTTTATGTTGAAAATAATAATGTTCACATTGAAGAGGAAACCTTCTATTGACTTCATCAGTGAAAGATTCAACCCTGAGGTAGAATAAAGTAATAAGAAAAGATTAAATGCAAACAAATCATGCCATGAGATTTTAGGGAGAGAAGGGAAAGGTAATTCAGCAACACGAATAATTATGTTAAATAATTGCTGCTTTCAGGTTCTTTGAGATATTAGCTGTGCCTTCAGAGAAGAAGCAATTTTATATACTTTGCTGGAAATGCTGACAATAAAAAAAAAATAGATCGACTAGAATGCACCTCATTGCTTTAAATGATCTATTTAATTGCTGTACTACTCTTATAGTCACAACAATTAAAAAGATCTTATTACAAAAACTTTTGTTCTGCTGCTCAAGTACAACATATAAAATACAACATGTAAGGATATATCTTTTCCTGGAAAGGAGGCAGAATCAATGACAAGCCTTAAACTCCGACAAGTGGACAGATGTACATTGCAGCCTGGACATTCCTGAACTCAGCTGGAAATTTGTCGTATTTAAGGTGTACTCAGGAGTAAAGCAAAAGTGGGACACAAGAATAGGATGGTCAAAATTTACGTTTAAATATGCTCTAATTAATTACACATATATAAAACACTGACTATCTGGTACCTCATTGGCAATCACATTTTTTATCTCAGTATTTCCTAATCTGCCTGAGGTGAGGGAGGATGTTTGGAAGCTTTTCAAATGTAGATCCCTCACCTGTAGGTATTTAGCTCATCTTTTCCTTTGTCCACCTTCCTTCTCCACTCTTCAACATATGCATAGCCAAAAGATTTTTTGCAAAACCTGGTTGAATAATCAGAGGCTCTGCTTTTTCTTGTATGTTGTGCTGTATACTTGCAAGAAGTGCTCTGATTCCATGCAGATAGACTGAATTATTTATAGAAGATTTGTACATGGTAGCTTTCTGAATAGCCTTCTACCTCATAGAGGAGCTTAACCTCTCTTCACACTGTTTTGTAGTGAACATAAATTTCAGATTTAGGTATTCTGAATTATCACTGGCATCAAGAGCTGAACTTTTTAGATTAACCTTCTCCCAAATATACCCCAATCACTGATAAGCACATCTTTATAACTCACTATTACATATGTAATATCAATTTCATTTAACTTTCTTTTAGAATTTTTTAAAGTTTTGTCAATTTAATTGAACTTTCTTTTAAAGACCCAGCTGTTTATTTTTTTTAAAGTAGCCAGCAATTTTCTACCTATACAAAAGGTCATCCATTAACTCAAGGTTGTTCTTTGAGGCTTAGCTGCTACTAGACCAGGAAAAGTGCAACATAAAATACATAATTTGATTTAAATACAAAAAATGTGTGCCATAAATTTACATAAATTCTCTCTGTTAACTCCAAGGCTGTTTAAAAGAAAGAACAGTCTGCTATGTTTTCTTCCACCAGAACAGTTAGAGTTTTTGCATTATCTCTTACTGAACTATTGGGAGTGCAATTTCAATAATTATGTCCCACAAGAAATGGGAAAGTATGGATCATTACTATAATTATATTATTAGATGCACAGATATTTCTAAATTGGTATATTTTTGAAACTGAGTATTCTAAAGAAACCAAGATTATTTCATAATTTGGTTTTTTAGGCTTTAAGACATTTCCATTAAAACTAAATTTCCTGTAATACTGAATGCATTAGAAGTGAGACCATTTTAGAGGAAATAGTATTTAAAATTTCAAATTATAAATATTAGGCTTGTAGGATGGTCCTGAAATGTGTAAGCTAGTGAGTGTAGGGATGATGACATTGAAAACATAAGTAATTAAGACTATTGTAAGCACTATTAAAATTGTTAATGCCATTTTCCTTATGTTTTTATTGCTTTATTGTGTTTTCCTTACTTGAATTTTTTCAGACATTCATGATCAGAACAGCAAGAAACCTGTTATGGTCTACATCCATGGTGGATCTTACATGGAGGGTACTGGAAATATGATTGATGGCAGCATTCTCGCAAGTTATGGAAATGTCATTGTTATCACTATCAATTACAGGCTGGGGGTTTTAGGTAAGTGACTCTTTTCTTCAGAGAAATATTTTCACAGAAATATTTGATTGCTGAATTTTTCCACTGATCAATCATAGATATTTGGCTCAGTTTTGATTTTAAAAGACAACAATCTCAATGATGGATTTTGAATTCTGTCCATTTTTTAATGGAAACTAAGCTAAACTACATTATTTTTGACAACTGCCTTCACCTAAAAAAGAAATGGACTGGAAATGTATAATGTTTTGATAACTGGTATATTTTTCTTAAATAATTTCTATTCCATGTTTAAAACAAAAAGAAGAAGAAAGTCAATCAAGAATGAGTCCTCACGGTTTTAAAACAGTTGGCAATGGCAAGAAGAAGGAAAGTGTTACTATATATCTGTATTTACTAATTTTATGTGCCAACTGGTTTTTAGAGATACATACAAAAATAAAGGCCATATACACTGATGGAATTTGTGTTGTGGGTAATAAGCAATCAAGGGGTTTTAAGGAGTACAGTGACATTATCTTCAAAAAGATAAGAAACTCCATAATCATGGTGCATAGCATGTACCAAACTTTTGTTCAAAATAAGGTTTATTTATTTTTTGAGGTTCTGCTTTTCCATAGAAAAAAATAAAATCTAAAAAATGACAGAAAATGGCAGACATTAGAAATATTTGTTATCTTAGTGAAAAAGCTTAGAGTTTATATAGAACAGAATACAAAATGCTCAAAAGCTCATATTTCTGGCATTTTAGATACACAGGCTAAAATACAGTAATTTTGTTTGTGTGTCTTTTTACAAGGACTTTTGATCTTGTTTTTCCTAATAGCAAAGCTGATCTATTTTCATAGTAGGTACTGATTTGGAACACAGAAGTCTTCTCTTGCTATCTGTTCATGCTGTTCATGTTTTTCAACAACTTAATAATTCATCGGAGTACTGAGATTTCTTTTTGTCTCTGATTTTGGTTATTCATTAAATAGAAAAGACTATTTTTTTCTATGATTGAAAGAGATTTAAATTTAAAGCCAGAAATATAAAAAGATATCTTGGTATATTTATGCATGCAGTATTGGTACTCAGAAACACCCAAACAAACAAACAAAAAACAAACAAAAAACCAACCAACCAACCAAACAAAAGGACAAAAAAGGAAGAATTGAAGACACAAGAAAACAAATTGCAGTTTTGGTTTTTGTCAAACAACATATATAGCCAGAATCTTGGTAGGTTTTCATCTGTAAAAAAGATTATTTAATGCATCTCTTTAAAAAGTTTTCTCTTGGTTTCTTACAACTAACATTGTTGAAGGATACAGATGAGTGTAAAAGACTATAAGTGGTTTAAAATGTTTCATTGCCTCTCTGTATTTTATAAATCTAAAGGGAAAAGTGCAATGTTTTCATTGGTGAACTCCTATTTTATGTATTTAAATTGAAAACAAAAAAAAAAAAGAAGAGTCAGAATGCTATTTTTTTTAATTGTGCAATTCAGGCAAAAAGGCACAAAACAGGGACATTTATAGGAGAAAGAGAAAAGTAACAGTGGTCCGGATTTTAAATGGATTAGGAAAAATACATATGTGTATTGACATTAAATACTGCTTCTCAACAGTGAGAAATGTAACTTTCAAGACACTGTGGAATTTCTTCTTTATTACAAAAGTCTATGTTTGAATTAGAAAAACAGAAGATATTCAGAAAATGTGTATACACTTAAAAATCAGAGGAGATCTGTTTTATGAACATATTTGCATTTTTTTCCTCCTGGGTAAAATGTAAATGTGATCATTGAGAGCTCATTGGGCTCTCCCTGGACATTGGAAGATATTAGGTGAATTACATGTCTTTTTTGCTTGTTTCATGAGTTTAAAAAGAAAGCACAAATGTCTTCAGAAAAACAGCCACGTGTAAAACAAACATGACTATTCATAAGAGTGTAAAAAGTAGTGTCATTTTATCATATATGGTTTCAATACTAACAAAATTTGTATCCCTTTCTTCTAGTCTGGGTTACTGGAGGTCCTATTTCTGTAAATCTGGTGTGTTTCAATGGTGTTTGATTTGTAAGTGCATACACAAAGTCACATACAAACCTGTTGTTAATGACAGAGATGTGTAATTCTATCACTATTATCTCACCCTGTAAGGAAGGAATAGACATCTAATTGATCACAGTGCTGAATTGCTGGAGATGCTAAATTCCTCTGGAAAATTCTTTTGAATGGACATGAATACTGGATCTTATACTGTCCATAAATGTTAGTACTGTTCTTGAGGCACATTAAATTATTTTTCTTTCGGTCTGTAGTGTGTCATTAATAGCAGTGGATAGAAAAAGTATTAGGGCCACACAGATAACCACTGGATGATCTTACTCAGACAGATCATAGCACTAAGAAAAGTTTTGGGTTCAAAAGAACCTTCCAAGACCATCCAGTCCAACCCTGAAGCCATGGGGAGGGATATTGGTTACATCAGGTAGCTCAAAGCTCAATCCAACCTGAGCTTGAACATTTCCAACAATGAAGCATCCATACCTTCTCTAGGCTACCTGTTCCAGTGTCTCCCCACCCTCATAATAATTTTTTTTTCCCCCCCTGTCCTGCCACTGTAGGCCTGCTTAAACATTTCTCCATCTTTCTTGTGAACACCCTTCATATATTTCAAGGCTCCAATAAGGTCTCCTAGAAGCATTTTCTTCTCCAGATTGAACGGTCTCAGTTAAGCTTTTCTGACCATTTCTGTGGCCCTCCTCTGGACCTTCCTTAACAGATCCATGGCTTTCTTGTTCTGGGGTCTCCAGAAGTGGATGCAGCACTCCAGGTGGGGTCCTACAAGACCAGAGTAGAGGGACAGGATCACGTCCATCACTGCTGGCCAAACTGTTTTTGATGCAGCCCAGGATGTGGTTATTTTTCTGCACTGCAAGTGCATATTGCTGTCTCTTGTCCAGTTATTTTCATCCACTATTATCCCTAAGTCATCTCATTCATCTGTCTGTAAAATGCTGGAGTTTCTTCCACTTGCACTTGGCTTTCTTGATCTCAAGGTTCCCACTGGTCCAGTTTTCAAGCCTTTCAAACTCCTTCTACATGGCATCCCTTCTCTCTAGTAAATCAAGTACAATACTCATCTTTGTGAAGTCCACACGCTTCCTGATGGTGCACTTAATCCCAGTATGTCCTTAATGAAGGTATTAAATGGTATTGGTCCCAGTGTGAACCCTAAGGGAGACCACTGATTATTACTTTGCACTTGGATATTTAGTTGTTGACTGCAACTTTTGAGTACATGGCCATTCAGCCAGTTCATTATCCATCCAACAGTCTATCCAAAAAATTAATATTTCTTTAATTTATTGTCAAGAATGTTATAGGGGATTTTAAAAAATTTCTTAAAAGCATCCAGGCAGATAACATCCAGTCAATAACATTGATTGTTCTTTGCTTGCTACTGATGGAGTCACATTATTGTATATGGCCTGTCATTATTGTAGCTAAGCCAGACACAACTTGCCCTTGGTGAAGCCATGATACTGTCTGTATTCGTGTTTTTGTCTTGCATATGCTTCAGTATAGCTTCCATAGGGATCTGTTCTGTGATCTTATTGGGCATGGAGGGGAAGCTGACTGGTCAGTACTTCCCAGGATCCCCCTAAGTATCCTTCTTAAAACAGATGTGATATCCCCTCAGTCATTGGGGCTTTCCTCAGATTCTCTGGTTTTTCCAATATGGTGGAAATTGGCTTAGTGTCTGCATCTTTTATTTCCCTCAAGAGTTTTTATTGGATCCAATGGACTTCTGTATGCTCAGGTTCCTCAGGTGATCTGAAAACTGATCTACTACAATGGTGGAGACTTCATTCCCCCAATCTCTGCCTGAAAATTTGAGGATTTGACAGAAAGGAGGAAGAGAGATTGCCCGTGAAAACTGAGGAGCAAAAAAAATGTTTTAATAGCTCAAACTTCTCCATGGCATTTTTCCATAGTTCTCTTTTATTATTTATTGTGGGAAATACATCTTCCTTTTCTGAGCAACATATCTGTAAAAGCCCTTCTAGCCAGTCTTCATATTCCTTGCCTAATTCATCTCCGGCTGCACCTTAGTTTTTCTAATCCCATCCCTACATATCTGGACAGCATCTTTATCTTCTTCTTAGGATATATGTCCCTGTTTCCACTTCCCCAAAGTATGCCTACAATCAAGAAATTAAAAATTCTGGCCTAAAGTAAATGAAAAGACAGACGTCTGAGTCAGAAAAGACACTTTTTTAATGTAGATGTAACACCATGACATTCAGAGCTATAAAACATTTTTAACTGAATCATAGAGACAAATATTTTCATGTCTATCTTTTCTCCTTGCATATGGGTAAAATATAATCTTTAGATTGTGCACTGAACAATATGCATCTGTAACTCCAAAAATACCTCCTGTCTTAGAGGACTGCAGAGATGCTCTGGGAATAATTTCCTCACCTCTCTCTCTCTAAATAAACATGCCAAAATAGCAGACAGATTAGCCCAAGGCTTTCCAACATTTCAATTCTCTCTCACTCCTTTGAGTTCTAGAATTTCCTCTAATTTATAGATCCCCAACAATGCATGCAGGAATAATATGAGTTGTTATTTAGATGGCCATATTTTCCCTTTATGTATAAACATGCATTTATCAAAATGCATTTCATGGATAGGATACTTTTGGGACAATAAAAAAAATTATATTTGCCTTCTACTTATTGTAGTGTGCACTGTTTGAGGGGTGCCGTGGTGCTGATTTTAATCATTTGTGTTCTTCAAGGCTTGTGAGGATGCTGCCTCTGCCCTGCTAGGCAGTTTCTGTTTTTACTCATACCTCACCACAGTGATGACTGAAGATGCTACTGGAGCTACAGGAAGCTGCTAAGTTGTCCCAGTGTAAGGCAGTGTTCCTGTGTACTGAAAAATTCAATACTGTAAAATACAGAAGTACTAAATCCCATGGTGGTCCCCAACCCTCACTACATGCTTTGAGCATTGTGTA